ATATTCCAAGTAAATTTAACTTAAAGATTTCTAAGTAAAGCTACTGATAAATATGTTTATGTTTTTGCTTGGCAAATCTTTTAAAAAAGTAAAAAAAAGTTCCCTAGCTTTTTTCAAGTAAATCCTACTCCAATTTTTTTCATTATATCTTTGTCTGTGTAGCTTTTAGTGTTTAACGACACGGCTACCTTTTCCAAAGAGTAACTTTCTTCCATTTATTTATTCTGCTGCAAATTTGTTAAAACTCCCAACAGTAGGACAATCCGCTTCATTTTGCTGAATTAATATGCCTACTGGAAAAAATCCTGACGTATTCTCATTTCTTCATAATATTTAACAGACTTATGGGACAATACATCATAAATTGGAATAATACAGGATGGAATAACTCTTGAATAAGTTGTCACATTTTGGGCCTGGTCTTGTTGGTGTGGTGACGCCAGTGTGTGTTTTTGGGAGATGGTTAGTCATAAAGTAATAAACGTCAGCAGAGAATCATAGTCCCGATGATGGACAGGGCCAAAATCAGACCCTGCTTCTAATATTGGGTCACAGTCGCCAGCGTTCAGACGAAACCGCACATGAGCCACGACATTCAATCGCACACAAAACAAAAATACCAAGAGAGAAACTTCACTTGCTACTGACGTCAGTTTGTGCACAAACACACACGTCTTTAAAGCGTTAATTATGCCGTGCCATGTTGGGCTTGGCAACCGCTCCTCATTCACCCTGACTTTGAATTATCGCTTTGCAGAGTCTATATACGTGTGAGCGACAGAGAGCGACACAAATGACAAATTGTTCATGGACTCGCGTCAATGGGGGTGATTCACAACCTTTAAGATCGAAAAAGCAGAACCGCTTTGAATTACACAACAGAACACACACATCTATTGAGAGTGGAAAAGTGAGTATCATGCGGCAAGAAACCTGAAAGAATGAGAAAAGGTGAGATGATTTAACTTGTCTCACTCTCTCTAATATCCTACAGTGATGTCAGCTGCCTTAAGAGAGATCAAGTGAAGCTGTGCACTTGCCCAACCCCCCCCCCCCCCCCCCCCCACACACACACCTCAAGAAAATGGCTTTAATCAAAACAGTCATTCCCCATCAGCACTAGACACAGTGACAGTACACACTTTTAGTACTTGAAGGACAGCTTCATTGATTATTGCGAGACTTATTTCATACCTACTGTAACATTAGCAATGTTTTCTATTGACACGAATGACACCTCAAACCCAAGCTTGTTTTGGAGAGGTGTGTTATAGGCAATCACACTTGTGATTTTCAGACGAATAAAACATCTTATAGACTTAAAAAAAGTGAGCCATGTAGGGATCCGAGATTTTGTAGACTCTTCTTACTTGGGTAAGCAACACTCAAGCAATCAACCGGATTAAGCAATCCCTATTTTTTAAATAAAATTTAAAATAGAATTTTTATCAGAAATATCGCAATTGGAGCTTGATTGACAGGTGATCTGACCAATCATACTTCCTCATCCGCCATTTTGTCCGACCCCCATGTCATCCTTTCTTCAGTCGAAAAGAAATTGAGGTTTTTGATGAAAACATTTTTCCAGGATTTTTCTCCATATAATGGACTTCAATGGGAACCAAATTGGTCAAAGTTTGTTTATAAGCTCAAATGTTCATTAAAATGAACAAATCTTTTTTCATGTCATTTGGTTCATTCAACGAGCGAAATGAACGAGTTGACTCTGGAAAAGATTTGTTCATTTTGATGAACGAGTTCGAAAAGGAGAGTCACGAACGTGTATCACAGAACAGAGCAAGCTTCTAAAAACCATTTGAGCTTATACAACTCAAACTTTGTTGTTGTTGTTTTTTTTAAATGAGCGATCGTTTCGCTTGATAAGACCCTTATTCATCGTCTGGAATCGTTTAAAGCCCTTTGAACAGTTTGCACTGAAACTTTCTTTTGGACCTTGAACCGTTTGGTTCCCATTGAAATCCATTATATGGAGACAAAATCCTGGAATGTTTTCATCAAAAACCTTCATTTCTTTTCGACTGAAGAAAGAAAGACATGGACATCTTGGATGACATGGGGGTGAGTAAATTATCAGCAATTTTTTTTAAAAGTGAACTACTCCTTTAAATCAAAACTCAGAGTCTGTAACAATACAGCAATAAGAAACTTTCTCTAAAGTATGCTCATGACCCTTCATGGGTGTTTACGGATTTATTGAGCCATAATACAACATGTGTATTTGTGTAATTGATAGTTTTGGGTTCAAACTTGCAGCTCAAATACTTGTGTGTGTGTGTGCGCTGTGTGTAGAACTCTGCACATGTAGGCAATACTATCTCTCCAGATCAGTGTATAGCTTTTCCATCTCTAATGTCTTTCCCAGAAATCTCCTCACACACAATGAGGGGCTTATATTCTGCCCTACGTGTGTGTGTGTGTGTGTGCGTGCTTAAATTCATTTAACCCAGACCATTTATGACAATAAATTACACTACTCAGCACAGTGGACCCACTGAAAGAAAACAATTATACACATGCAAAAGGCGTTTTGAAATTAAGCACCTGCAGAGAAATGATAGTTTAGTGGGGTTATAGAATAGTAGGGTACTGTGTCTTTCACAAAAATAACCTCCAACATAACACAATCTCATAACCTTCAATAAATTGTTTTATCTTACACTAATTTCTCTCACAAATTACAATTTTCTTTTTCCAGATGCAATGAAAGTGAATGTTGGCCAAGGACTTTCAAGCACCACACAGTAGACAAGTGACAAATGTGATATGACTTGTATTGCTTATATTAATATTAGGCTATACATAGTTATAAATAAAAAATCCACACCCAAAGCTCAATTTTTTAGATTTTTTGGAACTTGATCATTCACTTTCACTCATTGGAAAAAGGCACCTGTAGCAACATTTGAGCAAAATTATATGCCATTATTACAAGTAAAATGAGTTATGTAATCAGATTACTTTTTTCCCCAAGTACGGTAACTTGTAAAGTGATGCATTGCTTGTAAATTTCCAACAAAATAATTATTCCTTTTTTTAAAATATTTAATCAGTAGCTCGATCCAGTTTGTCATCACGAGGTACTGTATATGTTATTTAGAAAATAGAACCTACACTAAACCCGACCCAAAACAATACTGTTAACAAAAGAAAACGTGAAATAAAAACGCATTTGATGGAAGCAACCATGCCATTTTAGCAGCTTACAAGTCTTTGAGCTTGTAGCGTCGTAGCTTTGAGCGTTTCACAGGATTCCGATTTGGATCCAAACAGGTTGACTGCATCAGAACAGCTATAGGCTACATATAGAGCTGGTTATGTGATAAATAAAGTCAACATGTAGGCCTATTGGTTTACAAATTAATCCAATCATGCACTATAAGTGTTTTTAGGTCAAAACACAATCAATATTTTGCCACTGTAATCAATGTGTGTGATTTGTCCAGCTAGTGTTCATTTCAGCTGGAAACTGCAGTGAATTTAACGCACTCAAGTTTTGCAAAAATGATTCTAGGTTACGAAAACAGCAGCATGAATATTCTGTTAAGCGCCTCTTTTTGGGTACCACGGAAGAACTGAATAGCCGAATTCTCATTTTTAACAGTGAAATAATTGAGGCAAGCTAAACAAGATCACAAACCTATATTCATCACTCAACTGAAGCAGCACCAAACAAACACTCTTAGCATAAATGCATATCAAAAGCGGTGCCACATGTACAGCTCAATGGGGTGCACTCGTTTGTTGGTGCTTTCAGTGGATCAGATGGAAGGAAACACAGGTAATCCACTCGCCATATCAGCGCTGACAGAGCATCAACACATACATTAGCATATGTTAGCATTCCCATTCTTGTGGTCTCACATGCTCTATAATCTGTGTTGCAGCAGATTTCTTCATTGAACGACAAAGCCAAACAGAGACAGATCCGGAATAAATTTGTATGCATTAGAAGCTCCCAGACATGCTGAGAGACAAATGCTAACATACTTTATTGAAATGAAGCTTGGTCAGGGAAGTGTACACAGGCACAAAGTGTACAAAGTCCCTTCCATAGGGATTCCCCAAAATAAGACCAAGCATCAGTTTATTATGGGATTCTGCAGTTTTCCAAGAGCATTTACTCTCACTTAAAAAGCATCTTTACACTATATTCTGGATCTTCCATACAGGAGGAGACATTGAGCTGTCAAACGATTAATCGCATCCAAAATAAAAGTTTGTTTACATAATATATGTGGGTGCACTGTGTATAATTATTTTGTGTGTGTGTGTATATATATATATATATATATATATATAAATATATATATAAATATATCAATAAATACACACACATGCATGCATATTTAAGAAAAAAAATATTTATAAAATATTGATATTTATATATAATATAAATTATATATAAATCTATATACAGTATATACATGAAAATATTTATTAAATATATAGAAGCATGTGTGTGTATTCTTATGTATAAAATAATTATACACAGTGAACCCACATATATTATTTAAACACAAACTTTTATTTTGGATGCAATTAATCATTTGACAGCCCTAATATATATATATATATATATATTTTTTTTTTAAGAAATTATTTTTATACAGCAAGGGCAGTGATTAAAATTTGATCATAACTGACAGTGAAGTCATTTACCTAATTACATCTATTTCATTTTTTTCTTAACTTCTATTTATCAAAGAATACTGAAAATATTTATCATGCAGCACAATTTCCACAACAATATTAAGCAGCACTGTGCTCAACATTGATAGAAATAAAAGTTTCTTGAGCAGCAAATCAGCATCTAAGAAAGCAGTTAAAATTATTTTGCATGGTAGAGTATAAAACTCAACATGTGTGTATATTTATATGCACAGACACAAATATATTGTGAAATATTACAATTAAAGGGCATTTTATCAATTACTGTATATGTGGCGTTTTAACTTATTTACAGAGGCTCAGATTAGCAGTTTCATGTTGATTATTAAAGTTTATTGTACACTGTATAAAGGTTTGGAAATAGATGATGGGTACTGGGTAAAAAAAACGGAGACCTTTTGACTTAAAATTAAATTAAAAGCGAAATGCTTAAACAGCTTGTTACACATTTTAAGACGTGCTGATTGATCAAATACAGCAAAAAGGAAACAAAAATTGCAGATCATACTCCAACAATTCATATGGAAATAATAAATAAAAAGCAACATTACAGATTTTTAAAATTAACAATACCAAGTAATTGCTTAAAAGACCCTTTTAAATCAGTGCTCTTACAGTCTGTTGAGAAATTACATGGCAAACAGTGTCAAATCAGTCACTGTCTGCCCCCTGCTGCCAAGACAGTATAATACCATTAAAATGATTCAAATAGAAAAGAAATATGTTCTTAACTAAAAATACATGTAAAAAAAAATTGAATTATAGTACAGTCGGACCTCAACCTGTCCATTTCAGCTTTGATCCAATATGAATCAATATGACCAAGACTTCCTTTCTCTCAACACTGTTTAATTCCCTAATGAAACACTGACTGAGAGATTCAATCTACATTATTCAGAGGATTCAAGTGCAAAACGTTTGCTAACAAAATGAGCATATCACACCCACAAAGACAGGAGATAAGGAGAAAAATGTGCAAAAGTATGTGGAGGAAAAAAACAAAAACAGTGTGACAATACATAATGATGTGATTTCACAACAATACCATTTGTTTAAATCTAGATTTTGTGATCTGACCTCAAACACACACACACCATCCACGAGGATCAGTCATCAGCAGACGCCCGTTTACTTCTTTATGCTAAACCATCGGGATATGGAAGATTTTCTCTTGACTTTTTCTTTCTTCACATCTGCAAATGGTAGAGCACAACCCATACTTAACTGCGAGGTCCATAAAGTTCATTTCAAGAGGTCATTTACTAATGGTGACCACAGTCTCATTTGGTTCCACAGAACATCAGTAACCGCTTCCAGGGCTTTCAGACAGTTTTTATGTCATGAATTGCAAATGGTTATGACTTTTGCCCACATTTGTGCATTGGTTTAATTGGGTTGGTAAATTATACATTTTATAATAACTCGTTTTAGCATAGAAAATGCAGGCAGATCATTAGCCAAAGCTAGATACCTATGGTTTCCATTAGTGATCATTAAATCAAAATTGGTAGCATTACTTTTCCTGTTTGGCCTTTCAAAACATGGAATATATAAACACGCACTGAGTAATTACTCCCAAGATTCATAGCATTTGAGTTGGTGGGCAGAGAGTTAAAACAGGTGCTAGTCATTCCAAATAGAAAACTTTAGTTTTAGCATCGGTGACGGAAGCTAAAAGAAAAACTGAAAGGCTGTGGGTTAAAAGTGCAAACAATATTGTGAAATGAATGCATGTTTTTAAATCAGAAAACTTTCCAAGCTTTCCATATTTAACACACCAATTCCTTTAAATGAGAATGTTGCCCGTGAGTAAAACCTATTGTGCAGTGACATATCCGTTTATATTGTTATGTTGACTAGAATCAGACACTAAACATTACTGATAATAATCCTCTGTGCCATCATTGAACAAATGGTGACAATAAACAATTGCCTCTGTGTTGCCAGCCTCGTATTATGTGCAAACAGGAAGGGATGTTCATTTTGAATCATCGAACAGAATGGACTATAATAAATAGAGTTGGCTGCAAATTTGTGCCTCTTTAAAACTGGAGCCAGCTGGTGCACAATAATCATTTTCTAGCTAGGGAAATGTAATCTAATCTATCGTACAAGTAAAGCAGGGGAAATTTTTGGCAGTTTATGTTAAAGTCCTTAAAATATTATTTATTTATAAACGTTAAATATTTACTTCTTTTGCTCTCTCTCTTTGGGGAAAAAAAATATTCCCAGGGTTTGATGCTACGTAATCATACTCACCGTTGGTACCAAGATTCTGCATCATCTTATTCAGCTCCTCATCCTCCTCTTTCTCCCTGTGGATGTAAGTGTAAAAAGAGCCGCAAATGTCACATTATGTAAAGGTTTCAGGTATTCGATAGTGTTCTGGATAAATATAAACTATATTTAAATACATACAAACAAATTACTAATTTTAATGAAATGCACCTCATATTGTGCATTTTATAAAATAATGATAAAATAATAAAAGTAGTAATTTTACACTCTTCTGCTGATGTAACCAATGATGCATGTAGGAAAAAATATCCTATAATATCATCCAATAGCTTTCCAATCCAAACCAAATTAAATACCGGGATAGTTCACTTTGAAATTATTTTTAGTATGTTTTAGCTTACCTCAAGGACATCCAAGATGTAGGTGTCTTGGTTTCCGCAGTAGTTTCAATTTTGATATTTTTAGGTCAAACCGTTTGTGTCTATCAGTCATACAATGGAGGTCTATGGTCACCACCTCAAAGAGCATGCACAGAGAAGTCCAAATTAAACATGATTTAATGACTCGTAAATGTAAGTACACATTGATGGCTAAAGACACGAAACTGTATTTATATATTTTTTACCACAGCCACAAAGCGACCTCAGATCACTTGGACATGGCTGTGAAAAGGTAAAAACGATTGAAATACTGTTCGTTTTCTCGCACCAACCGCTCGTTTCGTGTCTTAGTCCAATGTGTGCTTACATTTACGAGTCATTAAATCATGTTTAATTTGGACTTCTCTGTGCATGCTCTTTGAGGTGGTGACCATAGACCTCCATTATATGACTGATAAACACGAACAGTTTGACCTAAAAATATCAAAATTGAAACTACTGAGGAAACAGACACAAAGAATAAAATAGAATAAAGTTTCTTTATTTATGCAACACTATGCAATAAAATAAGATTAGGTAAGACTAAGCAATATATGATATATGTTTCTTCCTGCACACCTCAGTCTGTCTTCATCCAGCCCCTCTAATATGGCGTTCCGGTCATTAACTATCTCCACAAGTTTGGCCATCAGCTCTTTCTCTCGTTTACGCTCGTGGTAGGTCTTCAGATTGTCTACAGGATACAAAATTATTTAATAGCTAGATTAGATTTTACTTTGAATGTGAAGCACAATAACATAACTGACTGCTTGATTTGGTCTTGACTACAATAGTCTAGTCTACACAAAGCTTCATCAGCATCCTGAGATGCAGTGACCCCAAAAAGTATGAATGCATTAGCATTATACAAATAAAATATTAAACCAAGTGGATGATGTTAAGACTTTTTCCAGTGTTGTACGAACCTGGGGTCTCCAGCAGTCTCCTGAGCTCGGCCTCAACACTGGGCTGTTCTTCTTCTAGATCCTGCGTCTTGGCGCTGTCATAACACAAATCACACATAATAACGCTGTCTAATAAATAGAGCTTTCAGAAATACAGTATATTCACTATCAGCGTTCAACAGTTTGCACATACATGTACACAAGCTCGGATTCGCGTCTCATGTAGACCTGTTTGTTTCTGATGAGGGTAAACCAGTCCACCATTAAGTCATTCATTACAGTGTCCTCTTCTCCATCTGAAGAGAAAAAAAAAGAGAAATGCAAAAAAGTTATAGAATATATATATATATATATAGTTATAGAGCTGAGAATCTGCATTTGTAATATTTGTCTCCACCTGCTGGAGCACAAGAGGACAACATCAGTCTCTGAATGGTTATGTTTTATTAAGCGTGTTTAAATAATGCTTAGACATTAATGCAAAACATTGTTCCACTATTCATGACTCAATAGTTCACAGAAAGGTTGAATCAATAATTTAATTTAGGAATTGAAAAAACAAATTAGTTTAAGGGACTTAAGTCACCATGAAATTCTAAATAGACAAGTCTTGTTTTTTTATTACCATTGAATATTGCAGTATTAATATAAATGATTTGTCCGTACACAGTTTTTTTTTTGCAAACACATGGGCCAACTCAATATTTTTATTTTAGAGAGAAAAATGTCAAATTTGCCTTCACACCCTCCGTCGTTGTATTAGAATTCATATGTTATTCATTTGTTTTCGGTCATTTACCAACAAGGTAATATAACAATATATAGCGTTACAAATGTGTTTAATTTTTTTAAATATGAAAAACTTTACTATAATCGCAATGTTGATAACTGTGGAAATGCATCACCATAGTCTGTGAAAAGTATGCAAATAACAAATGAGCAAATAAATTCTCAAAAAAAAAAAAAAAAAAAAAAAAATATATATTCTTTGTCATGCGAGTCTATGTACCCCATCATTTTATTTGATCAACTGTAAAAGGTAAGCCGTTTCTATTTTGTTTGTTTTTTTAAGAGTGTGTGTATTTTTGTACAGACCCTCATCACTTTGTCGGAGTTGTTTTTCCAGGTCTACTCCTCTTTTCTGCAACTCGTTCATATTCATCTCAATTTCTTTCAGCTCTTTCTGAATGTCTTCTTTTGGAATGTAACCCGGCTAAAGCAAACAGACACACAATATGTCAAATGGGAACTTTTGCACATATTACTCTAAAAAAAGCATTGAAAGGAATAAATAAACCACTTATGATCTGTATAGTCTGAGGAACTGAATAGATGCTTCAAAAGTCTGGGTTTACTATGAAGTCATTCTATTTTGATTGTAGTAGTAGTCTATTCAAAGATAACTGTGCCCCAAAGGGTCCCTTTGACTCTCCAAAACAGTCTAAATAGGCCCCTTGACAAAATAATCCCTCAGCACTCACACACACACACATCAGTGCAGACAGAAATGCACAGGACCAGATAACACATGTAATTATTGTTTTGACACACACCTTGTGTGATTTGTGAGTTTCAGTCCCTGAGGGACTAACCGGAGAAACACTGCTGGAGTCTGGAAGACAGACAGAGAGGAACAGACAGATGAACAGAGAAATGGAGAAACCAGTTAAAAAAAAAATTACTGCATGCAGTGCTCCCCCTATTCATGTTAATGCAATTAATATTAATGTTAACATTTTACTGCAAGTTTGGCTGTACCTGGCATCCTTACAAAAAAGAATCATGGTATTACCTTGGATTTTGGACAAAAAAAATGCATTTAATTTGATATTCTTTGAAATAACTTTGAAGGACTGTGTGTACATCCTAATATCATATGTAAATGCAAAATATCCTTAAATCAGTATCTCGATATTGTTTCACAAGATACATTTACCTGAGAAGCAAAATGTACTAGTTTTCAGTAGTGTTATTGTTAATGTGTGATTGTAATAAAGTTTAATATATATAGTAAATAAATGTATATATATTGGGGCTGTCAAACGATTAATCGCGATTAATCGCATCCAAAATAAAAGTTTGTGTTTACATAATATATGTGTGTGTATAATTATTTTGTATATATAAATAGACACACATGCATGTATATATTTAAGAAATATTTGCATGTATATACTTTATATATTTATACAAAATTAATATTATACATAAATATAAATATGTCATATATTAATAACCCATTTTTCTTAAATATACATGCATGTGTGTGTGTGTATTTATATATCCAAAATAATTATACACAGTGCACACACACACATATATATATATATATATATATATATATGTGCAAAATTAGAAATGTTGCATTGGTAACTAATGGAAAGAAATAATTTTAAGTACTAAAATGACTAAAATTTAAACACACACACAAAAAAATCTAAATTTGACAAAAAAAAATGACAATCCCATAACAAGATTACCAACTAAACTTTCAAATGAAGACTGAAAACATTAAAAAGGGCTAATTCCAAATATGTAATTCTAGAATAGTATATAAAAAATAATAGGGAAACCACTGGTTTTCAGAGAAAGTATTTTCTTCTTGATCGTGGTATTTCTGCATACATTTATATTATTATTTTTTGTTATAAGCACAACCCTCACATTATATTTGTAATATTTTATAATAAACTCATATTTTCAAGCTTATGCTTAACCCTCATAAAATGCATTGCTTTGCTATGGATACATCGATTTTCTTTTATTGTTTTCAAACTTTTGACTGGTCTTGCCCGAACATTTTTGCCAGAGCAAGTACTCATTCTTATGTGACCTTTTGAATAAAGAAATATTCCATTTCCTCAACGTTTCCTAAGGCCTTACCACTAGCTTTAGGCCTGTTGTTCATCGGGCTAGGTGAGGGCCCTTTCGTGGAGCTGATACTGATGGAGATGCTGGTGGTAGAGGGAGCAGGAATGGACGCTGTGGTGATTCCCAGACCTGATGTCCGTGGAGAAGCTGCTGCTGCTTCCGGCCTCTTGGAGGATGAGCCGGTGCTTTCTATATTACTGGGAGGAGTTCTAAAAAAAAAGAAACAAGAGAAAGATAATTAAACTTTTCTGCTGTGTTTCTCAGCCACTAAATGTTTAGCATCGCTTCTCTCACCTCTGACGGGTGAAAGTTTGGAAGGATGGGGCAGGAATTTAAAGGGGTTATTTACAGGCGAACACATCTTCAAGGGGGAAGTGCATGTGCACTGAGCTCTATCGCTCGGGGAACTTTCAGATACGACCCACTGCTGGTCTTACTGGGCGCAGCGGTTTTACATGCCCATGAGGAAAACCAATCACAATAGATTGTGAAGAAGTGGGAGGGACAGACCTTCTGGAGAACGAAGCGGTTTATCAATAAAGAGCAGGATGATTTGGTTAGGAAAAATCATATAGAGAAGATGATAAATGATTTTACTGAGAAAGAACATGACAAAATGATTCATAAATGTATTCCACAGTAAAGAACAAGACAGTATTAGTAAAAAGGTCAGAAGCTGCTTTCATTTGGAGAGACGACAGAAATGAGCAAACTTACTTCACAGGTTTGAGCATGGACCTCCAGCCAGATGGAGACGTATCATTGTCTGAAATTACATCAAAGGATTTGTTAAGTTTACATTTTCTTTTTACACCTTCAAAAGGTCACTGGGCAGATATTTAAAAAATGGAAAAAGCAAGCTACAGCTATAATACTTTGTTTAAAAGAGAACTCCGGCGCAAAATGAACCTTTGGTCTAATAACACATTGGTACCTAGTCGACCGTTCTCTGAGATTTTTTTTTATGATAATCGAATGTATAAAGTTTTATCTCTAAAAACTGTTTAGCGTATAACGCTAGTATATGGGGGTATATAATAAGTAAAAAGAAATCGCTAGTTTATACCACTAACAAGGCTCAAAATATCCCCACACTAACACAGTAACATAATGAGGGTCCCTACATGCAAAACGAAGGATTGAGAACTTTGTAAGTGTACAGACCGTTTAATAAGAAGATACTTTATAAAGACAGTCCACTTCGTGTATACAGGCAGGATCCATCTTTGGAAAACAGTCTCGACAAATCGAACTACGAAACTCCTGCCTGTATACACAAAGTGGACTGTGTATCTGAATTCCAGATAAAGCATATTCATTTTTCATCAATTCTTGCACCAAACACCACAACAAAAATAATTTAAGCTCCTTATGTAGCCGAATATGTGCTGGTTTGTATTGGTCGCCTCCAGTTTTCACTTTGTTTTGCCTCCAGCTAGCGCCGTGACCGAGCTATGCAAAAGATCAGTGCATGAAGTGACAGTTGTATAGGTGAGTTAGTCCTCCTCACCTTTGCTCTCGGACGACAGCGTGCTCACGGGCCTGGATAAGGTTTTATTATCTTTGATCCAGGATGGTGCTGAAGCAGCGGGGGCAGCAGGTTTCACATCGGTATCCAGTGCTTTGAGACGCACCCTACCAAAGGAGCCTTTAGCACCCGATTCCACAGGGGAAACATTACTATGGAAACCAAAGTGTCACGAGAACGTGTTAATGGATGTGCCTACACTAACACGTCAACAAATACTTCAAGATGGATTTAACCCTAAAACCGTATTCTGGACAAATGTGGGCAAAATAGTTTTTTTTTTTTTTAAATACTTCCCTTGATCTGAGCGGTACAAGACTTGGCTACTTTTCCTAAGTTTGGCTCCTGAACACACATTTTTGTTTTTTGGACTCAATTCTACAATGTTAAGTGGATGAAAAAAACTTGTTAATCTTGTATTTGGGTCAAAAATGGGCACCCATAGAAATGAATGGGAAAAACCGTAATTTAGAGCATTCTAAAATAAGCCAAAATAAGACACCAGGTGACAGCAAAGTCACTTCATTTTTAGGTTTTAGCTCTAAGAACTTATTGGAATGATATTTTAATGTAGTTAAAAAATAAAGCGTAAAAATAAGCATAATATACATAGAAAATATGGTACTTTTTGAAGTAAATAAATTCAAAAATACCCCCAAAATAAAAAAAAAAAATGGAAAACCCTAAATGGATAGACAAAAATGTTTTGAAGACAGTGATATAACATTTATAATAAATAAAAATTAGGTCCTCTGTGCCCACAATTACAGGATTAAGGGCTATAAAGTGAATACGGTTTGAGGGTTAAACAATACTCAATAGGCTTGAGTACATAGAGGCTATAATTCTGTTTTATGACCATTGTATACTTCCACCCTATGAAAATAATGGCCAAGTACGTAATGTGCTTTATATAGCTGAATGTAGCTCACCTGCTGCTTGCTTTCAGCCCTGCTGGACTCGGAGACAAGCTGTTATTATTTTTTCCCTCCGTCACCATCTTTCCAATCACATCCTTGGCTTTCTCCTTTTCATTCTCCTTCTCTTTTTCTGTGTCCTGTGTTTTTGCCCCGTCTCCGACCCGTAGAAGGACTCTTTTTTTACCTGCTCCAGCTCCTGCTGGGACTCTAGGCGTCGTACTCTCTGTTGTAGGAGTAACACTTGTTGTACTCACAGGTGTAGTTGAGGTGTATGATGGGGTGCTCTTACTTTCAGGCACAGTAATGCTAGGCTCAAAGAATCTAACAAAGAAAAGGACAAAAATATGAATGTATGAAAATATGAATTGCCAAGTTATGGTCGATAACCAAAAAATGGGCAAGATTAAAATAAAATTGTCTAAAAAATAAATAATAATAAAAAAATTTTAAAAAAATCAATCGGCTTCAATGCATGATATTTGCTTTGAGTTTTTGAAACGTTTAGCGTACAGAAGACAACATTGTCAAAACAATCCCCGTTCACATGGATCCATGAAAACCACTAAAAATGCTCTGTTATTCATGCCAGGCCAATAGCTGGCGATGTCACATTGTGAAGAAACACTACACGCTTTATAGACTGAACACGCAATACGTATGTGCATGACATCACCATTTAAAGAAGTTCACGTTTTTGTAGTTTACACTGAGACGATAACTGTATCATTTTCAAAAACTTGCTCTTTGAAAGTTTGCATTTTCAGGCTCCAAATCTCCATTGTCTTGTAATTAACAGCCAAAACATGAAATGTTTTATGTTTATAGTTGAAAACGGTGTCATTTAAACACCCCTTAAATGCTTAAGTGAGTTTAGAAATCACAAACGGTAGATGACCGTAAAGGGAAATCTAAAATGTAAAAATTGGGGAAAAGAGCAAGCAAAATTAAATACCCAATATACTGTTTGACTAGTTCTGATTGATACTAATAAATTAAAAGTTGTAATATTAGGATACATGATACTGAGATATCATGCATCCCTAAATACAATCTTTGAAATACATTCCAACAATCTGATATACAATAAAATCTTATTCTTAAAAACTGATGAAATTGAAATTTAGCACTATTATAGTACTTTTATAGAATCAATTTGATCTTTTTTTTTTATTGTATATAGCTTTCATTAATTCTTATTTCAGTTTTAATAAGGCATTTTGGTACTTTAACTTAAATGAAAATAGAAAATGTTGCCTTTTAGGTTTAAGTTTTTCATCTAATATTCATACATTTACTTCAGCTTTATTTCTAACCGAAAACTAATTTTTAATAGTTTCATTTTACAAACAACACTTATCCAAAATGCAAGAGAAACACACTTACACTATTATATAGTATTGGTCACAAACTATCTTTTATCCCAAATATAACCATATCACAAATAAAGTGTCAAAATACCGAACTGAAAGACATTCACCTCTTTCTGGCTTCTTGTACACTGTTGCTTACAGCTTTAAGAGGCTCCGTGGGTGTTTTGGGGTTAAAAGCGGTTTTCACAGTTGTTGTCTCTGATGTCGGAGTTGTTTTTGGTACTGGCTTGAACTGAACTGCTGGAGTAGGTGTGACGGCTAACCCACGGGTGGGTGTACGGTCACTTTTATTGGCCAGCCAATCCGGTTTAGATGCGTTAGGTGTTAAACCAGATTTTCCAGTACCTCCCCCGGATGCATTCTGGACAGTCTTGGTTATAAAGGTAGACTGCGTCTTTGGTGAAGGCACTGTGATGTGTGTGGTTGGCGCTGTTAAAGGCTTCTCTGTGCTTGTGTGTGTCTTGCAGATGAAAGTGCCAGCTTCTTTTCCAGCCTTGTAGGTGCCAGAGAGAAGAATAGTGGAACACTCTCTGCATCTGTTGAAAAGAAAGGTTGAAATAAACAAAACACTTTATTGTACAGCAATTCTGTCAACCTTAGTTGTTTTTAAATGTGGTATATAAATAAATATTGTACTGTTGGAAAAAAAAAGGTCTAAAGGTATGTGCATTGGATAGCTATCTGATCATGAAAGAAAAAAACAAAATAAAACAATTGTAAATGCTTTCCAAGACATCAGGAGGTGAATGATTAATTTATAGTATTTTAGTCCAACAGATATTTATCTTCACTTCCTTTTAGTCATGCATACTAAATGATCAGGTGACAAAAAAAGAACAGAACAATTAAAGGAGGAGTTCACTTTTAAAAAACCTTTTGCTGATCATTTACTCACACCCATGTCATCCAAGATGTCCACGTCTTTCTTACTTCAGTTGAAAAGAAATTAAGGTTTTTGATGAAAAAAAGTTTAAGTTTTATAAGCTCAAATGCTTGTCTTGCTCTGTTCTGTGATGCGCGTCCGTGACTCTACTGTTTGAACTGTTCCGAGTCAATTTGTTCATTTTGTTCGTTAAATGAACCAAATGTCTCGGAAAAAGATTCATTCAAAGATTCTTATCAGCAAAAGTCTTTTATTAAAAATGAACTACACCTTTAAAGCAAAACTGAAAGGCAGCTATTACACAAAACACCCCCCACATTACATGAAATCATTGTGATGACAATTCAAACATGATTCACAAGTCATTTGGAGTGGATGCATTTGCATTAATGTGCTATTTTTAAACTTAAAAATAAATTAATAAAAGGATCAATGGCTCAAGTGACTTACTTAAAGCAGTTCCTGTGGTAGAGTTTGCCATCTACTAGGTGGCGCTGCACAAGGTGAACATGTTGGTTACAAACAGTACAGCTGCTGCTCAGAGATCCTGATGATTTATTGGCACGTTCAGCCAAAACTTCTCTCTGGAAATGACAAAAAAAAAAAAAAAAGATAAATTGGTCTGTGCAAACACCTCAATAGGGGTTTTATCAATTGTTATCAAATAATCAATAATTATGTGGAAAACCATATTTACATTAGTTATCTCAGAATAAAGTAAGCCAAGACAACAGCAGGGTTAAATTGCTCACGTGCCCTCTTTACACACACACACACACTTGACCACAAATACTGAACTGTCAAACAATTTAAAGTTCCTATATGAGGTGACAAATCTTAGATAACTTGCATATTGTACCTTATTTTCGTTTACCGGTTTCGGCGTCTTATTTTCTGTGGCTGGTTTAGGTGAAGCGAAAACTTTAGCTGTGACAGGTTGGTTCTTCTTCTCAGATGGCGCTTCATTAGACTCTTCGGCTGGCCTTTTAATCGCACCCATACCTCCAACTGCATATCCAATGAGTGAAATGTTTTAGCAATGCTAAAAAATGACCACATGGTAAACTTTTTTTAAAGAGGACCTATTGTGCTGTTTTTGAGCCTGTCATGACTTGGGGTGTAACGTTGCTCTTTGAGCATTAAAAAAAAGTCTGCAAAGTTACAAAGCTCCAGAGAGAGTTATTCTCTATATAAGATCGCACTGTTTCTAAACTCCCTGAAACACCTTGATTGTAGTCTTAAAGGGATAGTTCACTTTGAAATTAATTTTTGATATGTTTTAGCTTACCTCGAGGTCATCCAAGATGTAGGTGTCTTTGTTTCCACAGTATTTTCAATTTTGATACTTTTTGTTTTCTATCAGTCATATAATGGAGGTTTAGGGGGTCCTCCCCTCGGTTCACCTCAAAGAGCATGCACAGAGAAGTCGATATTAAACAATGAGTGACATAGACACGCAAGCGATCACTTCCGGTGCATACGCAGACCAGAGCGCCCGTGCCGTCAGATCAGTTGGACATGGCTGTGGTTACACGAGGTAAAAACGATATAAATACTGTTCGTTTTCTCACACAAACCACTCGTTTTGTGTCTTAGGCCATCATTGTGTGTTTAATTTTGACTTCTCTGTTCATGCTTTTTGAGGTGAACCGAGGGGAGGACCCCTAAACCTCCATTATATGACTGATAGACAACAACGGTTTGACCGAAAAATATCAAAATTGAAAATATTGTGGAAACAAAGACACCTACATCTCGGATGCCCTTGAGGTAAGCTAAAACATATCAAAAATGAATTTCAAAGTGAACTATCCCTTTAAGTTTTGCTGGTTGAGGTGCGTTCGTAGCGTGTTTGGTTATTTTTATTTATTTTTTTGACCAATCAAAACACACTTCTCCAGCCGACCAATCAGAGCACATTGAGATTTTTGTAATTAGGGGCTTCATAAATACAGGAACTAAACTGGACTGCGATTCCACAAAACATTATAAGTCTAAGTAGATTGTAGAACCATTTCCACCAATGCTCTTTACGATCAACTTCGCTCACAATGCTTTTGAGAATCTCATCACAGAGTGTTCCTGGCAGACTGGGAAGAGAGGTGCTGCAACAATATTAAATATGTGAAAAATAATGTTCATTGTGCGCACGCATGTCTTACTGGGAGAACGTCCATGGAAGTAGTTGTAGTACTGGGACACATAGGTCAGAATGCTGAGTCGATCAGGCACTTTTAGAGCCACCATGTCTTCGGCATCCAACAGGGCAGGTATACCCAACTCATTCTCTGCCACCTCGAAAGCCTGGTAAAAAAAAAAAGCATTTAACAAATGGGATTTAACTCTCAGCACTAAGGATGTGTCAGTGTGTGTGTGAGGACATTATTGCTGGAACATCCGTGTAGCAGAACAATTAGAGGATTTCCTATTGAAAGTGTTTTTAAATTAATATACCCCTATTATCAAGTGCTAGATCTGCAAAAATGTATTTGATATCTGCAGGCTGCAAAATGAAAAAACAAACAAACACACAATTAAATGCAATGTGTTGATGAATATTAAAGGGATAGTTCACGCAAAAATGAAAATTCTGTCAGTATTTACTCACCCTCATGTTGTTCCAACCCCGTAAGACCTTCATTCATCTTCAGAACATGAATTAAGATCTGAGAGCTGGATCACTCTTCCATACTAGTCAATAGGCTTCTTGAGGAATTGAAACTTGCTGGCCTCGAAAAGTTATTAAAGACATCATTAAAATAGTCCAAGTGACTACAGTGGCTCAATCTTAACTTTATCAAGCGACGCGAATACTACAGTGCGCAAAAAAAACAAACAAAAATAATGACTTTAACTTCAACTATTCATTTACTTCTCCCTTGGCCTCGAGTCAAGTTACTAGTTTAACAGCGTATGATCTGGTGTTGTACGTCACACGCATCACAAACGTGACCAGCGTCGGCCAATAGTGAGCCTACATGTGACGTAGCTCTACGCCATCACACTACGTTAACTGACTAGAGGCCCAAATAGAAGGAAGTGAATAGTTGAAATAAAGTCGTTATTTTTGTTTGTTTGTTTTTGCGCACAAAAGGTATTTTCGTCGCTTGATAAAGTTAAGATTGAGCCACTGCAGTCACTTGGACTATTTTAACGATGTCTTTAATAACTTTTCGAGGCCGGCAAGTTTCAATCCCTCAAGAAGCCTATGGACTAGTATGGAGGATCGAGTGATCCAGCTCTCAGATTTCATCAAAAATGTGTGTTCTGAAGATGAACGAAGGTCTTACGGGGTTGGAACAACATGAGTGTGAGTAATTACTGACAGAATTTTCATTTTTGGGTGAAATATCCCTTTAACTTATAGAATATACGAGGGGAACTGGACAATAATATTACAATAAAAAAAAAATATATATATTTTTTTTTTACTAATTAAACAACTATATTTCTGCTTTTATCAGCTCTTACCCAGAACATATTGATTGACATTAGCTATTAAAACTTAAGATGTTTTGAATAAGTTCAATTCTGGAAAGTTTGATCAGTGTTATACCAATTATGATGATGCGAATGTCACCATATACATTATCATGTATATATATTGAGAAAAAGTGTGTCATTTGTGGTGATTTTCCATCCAGAGGAAGAACTAATTCCTCCATGCCATTACACAAAAATGCGAACTTGGCCTGGATTTCTTTGGGAGAAAAAAACAAAAACAAAACTTCGATCAAAAATAAACAAGAGCAGACATGACCAAGAAGAGAAAAAAAAAGGAGAAAAAATTATCTAGATGGAGAGAAATAAGGGGAGGCATTTTTCTGTGAAGATTCATTCAACAACTCACAGAACAGGAAATACGATTCAAAGACCACAAATCAAACTGTAAACACTGCAAATCACCACAGATCTAATAGCTGAGAATGTACACAGTTTATTTTATACATATTTTCCTTATTTATAAAACAGCACCCACGAATGAGAGGAGACAAAACATTTCATTACTTTTGCGCCATTATGTCTGACACAAAACGTTGAACTCTTAGTCAGTGCCAGGTTTCTGTTTACCTTCCACTTAATCTCCACCCTGTAAACCATGCATTACCTTATCTTAACACTTTCACTTTCTCTGTCTCTCACACGTGTTCTGCTTGGAAAGAGAAAGTCTTCCTTACATGCACACAAAGCTATTCATTAGCTTTTCTTTTGCAGTACTTCAATGATTGAATTCTCTCTTTCACAACAATTCTGAACAGCATTCCTTTTCCCATGGAAACAGGAAGGCAAGTGTGTGCAGATGATGATTTATAATGGTCTCCAACCGCACAAAATGTGATTCAGCTTCCTCAAAAATAGAAGAAACCACAAGAATAGGCCTGGAGTATGCATCCAATCTGTCACATCTTAACCCTGGTCAACCACATATGGGTCAAACAGCTCCATGAGAGGTCTAGCAAACACACTAACTGTTAAAATGATGGGGTTGTGATCTACTTGGAATGAAGACATTTCCCAAAAAAACTTAGTTGTTGATCTGCTCTCTTACAAATAAAGAACCAAAACATTTTTACTAGATGAGATCTGATGGACTCGTAATGTATCAAAAATTTAAATAGTTTGCCCAAAAATGCAAGTTCTATCATCATTTACTCACCCTTAATTTGTTCCAAAGTCTATGTATTTCTTCTGTTGAACAAAAAAGATGATACTTTGAAGAAAGTCGGTAACCAAAAAGTTGATGGACCCCATTGATTTATCATATAGTATTTATTTCCATAATATGGAAGTTAATGGGGTCCATAAACTGTTGCTTTCCCAACATCATCTTTTGTGTTCGGCAGAAGAAAGAAATTCATTCAGGTTTGGAACAACTTTTTGGGGTGAACTGTCCCTTTAAGAACAGTTCACTGAAATGTTCTTTTGAGAATCAAAAATGATTCTTCTATGACATCACTGCAAAAAAAAAACCTTTGGAACCCTTATTTTTAAGAGTGAATGGTACCAAATGTTAATCTGTTTTTTTTTTTTTATATATATATATATATTGCTGATGATCACTTTGAAGGGGTGTTAGTGATATAAGGAAAAGTGTAATTTTAACAATTGTGGAAATGGATATCAGAAAATTAAAAGAAAAATGGGTAATCTAAATGGTTGAATTTGTTGGATAAATGCCATAAATGTAAAGTATTGTGGTAATGGAAATTACTGAAAAAAAAGTGATAAAAATTGATAAGATAATTTTATAAAGTGAACAATATCTTACCTGTTTATTGTTTTCGTAAATATTTTCCTTGCTCAAAGAGTCAAAGTCTCTGCAAGAGAGCAAAGTGAACATGAGTGAAAAGAACAGGGAATTTCCCATGCCAAATATTAACAATGTGAATCTTACACGAATACAAACACAAATCACAAGCATGTACCAAATGCAGTGTCAACAAACAAGGGCTGCCAGATACTCACTTGAAACAACTATTACAAGACGTATACTCAGTTTGAGTATTTCAAGCACACAATCCATTTCCCAGGATATAAAATAGTTTTTTTTTTTTGTATATATATAAAAAGTTTTAATGTCATCCATAGTTCTAAAAGTTCCAACATCTAATTTGGAATTCTAGAAAAAGTCAATAGCCAATTCTTGCACTAAGTTCTAATGTAATGTAAGTTCTGGTTCTAAAACATAATGATAGTCTGTTCTCTTCCTAAATTCTAAAGTTCTTAACTTATTTTTTCACGAATACATTTCTTCAGCCTAAATTCTAAAAGTTCTCATCATATTACAACTTACATGCCCTATTAGGTTCTAAATGCCCTCGTCATAAGTTCAAAATGTTTGTGCCACAATTCTAAATGTTCTTAAGTCTGATATGAGATACAACCCGTACACAAATAAACTCTACGTTCGAATGTTTAGCATTTAAAACGTTCGTCTAAAGTTCGGGAGCTGTGCTTTTCTGAGCACAATGCAGCACCGAACCGCGCGTTTGCTCTGTGGGGGATGTTACTTACATCAACTCCGGTCTGTGTTTGTGAATTAGAGCGCAGAAAGCCAAACCGTCCCGGAACGATGTGGTCATGTTAGTGATCGACACGTCCCGGTATCCTGCACACTGGATTTTACACCACTGTTGAAGCGCTTTCACAGCAGACATGGTGCGACTGCGAATCAACACGGGACTAGTAGTTTAACTGAACACGGTTTCTCCTTTAATGGGGTCTACAAACGAGGTGAACGCTGAATGTTAAACGCGTTTGGTTTTCATCCACTCTTAGTGATTCACCGTCAGCTGAAGTTGAGAAACCCCTGAAACTCCTGGGAAGAGTCATTATGACGTCTTCATGGGTGGAGTTTAAGGTAAGCGTTTTTAAAAGTACTTCCCTTACAAAGATTTTATGGAACAACATGGTAATTTGGTTTATGGAACTGAATGATTTCCATATTCATGTAACTTACCAAGAAGTTACAAAAAGTAGCCTACCAAAACATGCTTTGCTTCATCTTCATGCCAAGTGCCACGGTAATATTGGAAAATCTTTGAATACTATTGTATTAGGCTAGTTAAAAAAAGATCAAACCAGGGGCAATATATATATATATATATATATATTGGTGCATGTATGAAGTAATTTCCCTTCAAGTTCACAGGTGACCAGGTGAGAAAACACTACGATGGATATCCTTGAAGTTGACAACCAGAAAGTGTCCATATAGGCTACTTAAATGAGTAGTTGACTTTAAAAAAAATGTTTGCTGCTGATAATTTATTCACCCCCATGTCATCCAAGACGTCCACGTCTTTCTTTCTTCAGTCGAAAAGAAATTAAGGTTTTTGATTAAAACATTTCAGGATTTTCTCCATATAATGGACTTCATTGGGAACCAAATGTTTCAAGGTCTAAATGAGAGTTTCAGTGCAGCTTTAAAGGGCTATAAAGCTGTGCTGCTGTTTCGGTGCATTATTGCAGATCAGTGTTCCTGCAGGTGTTCGTTATGTTCAGGGTGTGTCATGCCTATGAGTGGTTGGACGTGTCTAATCTCGCTGAGTCACACTGAAGGAAGTAACAAATCGAGGCTTGCACTTTAGACATGATTGACCTCTAACTATTTTAAGATTTGCATTGTATTGTACACATTTTTAGGTATAAACCAACTTTAAAACTTACTTATTTGTTCATATTTAATTATCAACATGTTCCAATGTTTTTGCTCTTTTATTGAATTTAGAATAGATAGCCTATAGGCAAATGAATGTATAAAAAAACATTTGAAGACTTGGAATGGTTGTCATACTTTATTAGACCAATGGATGTCAGTAAGAGACCAAATCATAGTTGTAAGTTAGTTCACTGTCAGCTGAAGTTGAAAAACCCCTGAAACTCCTGGGAAGAGTTATCATCACGTCTTCGTGTGTTTTTAAAGGACTTTCCTTACAGAAATGGTATGGAACCAGATGTTAATTTGATTTATATGGAGCTGAAATGGAACTACTAATGAAAAGTATATAAAACATTTTTTTTAAAGTCTTAAATTGAATTGATTGATGTCCAAAAAATTGTATAAACATTTGTTATGTTGAACGCTTTTGATTTTCATTAACCTACACCAATACGTTACAGATTTCACCATCTGAAGTTATGATGTCTTCATGGGTGGAGTTTAAAGGTGACCTATTATGCAAAATTCACTTTTACATGGTGTTTGAGCATAAATATGTGTCGGCAGTATATGTAATGTTCTCTAACAGGCAGACAGAGTTAGGCGGTATGTTTCTGTCAATGGATATGCATTCTGGTTTCCCTTAAACTTCCCAATACGAGTGCCATATGCTCTAATATGACCAGTCATGTACGCTATCATCACGCAATTATCAGACCTGGCTAGCACACGTTGCACCCTATAATGGTATTCCCTAAAATTGTATCCCGAGAGATGTTTAAAAAAACCAAGTGAAATGAATGAGCCATTTCCAACAAACTCGTGTGTATGTGTTTGATAAAATGTTTCTGCCTTTCTAAAACCCCGTGGTTTACCTAAACATGGTGACAGAAAAAAACGGACTGAAAGACAACAATTCATGGTATAACGTCACTTCTTTGGCAATGAAAGAGTGAGAATGTGGGACATCTGGAAGCTGTTATCTCTGAAGCCCTCTAAATACACACAGAGAATGAGGGGGAGTATGAGGTACAGTAGGCTAGTGTGATTGTTTTCTTCTAGGCTAAAATGAATGCTATCCTATTTTTACTGCCAAAATAAACATTATTTCATTCTGAGAGAAATTGAATGGCAAGAATTTCCAATTAGCTTATTAAACTGGGATTATGCATGTAAAGCTGCTGTGAAGTAAATTAAGCAACATTCCAGAGTTAGTGTGTATTATTATACATTTGATAGGTTTGGTTTCTTGCAAATGTAGTCAATGCTGATTTTGTTAAAATTAGGTTAACAGCACAACTGATGCACAAGAGACTTCTTTCAAAAACACAAAAAATCTTGCCAACCCCAAACTTCCCCAAAAGTAGTGTGAATTCCCACGGTCATATTTTGTATCTGAGTGTCATTTATTAAAGGACAGTCAATTATGTTTTCTCAATGTAGAATAGCTCTATTACAAGGGGAATGGAGTGGATAATGGCAGGCGCTCACTTTGACACGTTTCATATTCATAATTAATTTGTCAAAAACACATTTGGACTGTAGTAATTATGGCCATTATCTTGGTCTGCTACATTTTGTCATGTTATAAAGGTAACCGTAATTGTGATTATTATTTTGTTAATAATGGAAATCTTTTGTCAGAGGAAGCTCATGTATTCATAATTGTGTTTGGACCTTTGGAGGATTTGTAAAAATATTTTTTAATTCTTTTTAAATCCAATCTTTTAACAACCAATCAAGAAATGAAAGTTCTGCCCCATACTTAATTCTATTTTTGTCCCTCTTTTTGTTTAGTTTTTTGCCTCTATTTCTTTCTGCTTGCATCGGGCCATCCAGAAACATGGCTTTCAACTTGCTGTCATATCATACAGCATGTGGAAGCAAAAGTCTGGCTTTGATCTTCAAACAGGTCTTGTGTCAGTGTGAGATAAAAGCTGAAGGTTCAGACGTGCAGATTCACTCAGAGAGAAAGCTACGTTATATCAGCTCTGGGTTTACAACAATGCTTCTTAACAAGAAGAAGAAAATGTTAATTAAATGTGTTAAAAGAAAAACACTTTTGCTTAAAACAACAGAAATGCTCAAGGTCTAATCAAAATCTTGTCGGTAATTGCTTTCATGCTCTGGTTTAATGTATGCTATAATCAAACTTTGGATGTCTAAAAAAAAATAGTAACTTCTTTTTAACACAACTGATGTGTGCGAGTTGTTGAATGTGAATAAAAGCCTAAATTCAATCTGTTCATTATGTAAAGCAATCGTTTCTCTTCAGAAAATCTGGACTAAACCACTCTCAGAAAAAAAGGTACAAAAGCTGTCACTTGGGCTGTACCTTTTACACTTTTGTACCTAAAGGTTGCATATTGGTACCTTATTTGTACATTTTAGGTGCTAATTTGTACATTTCAGGTGCTAATATTTACATTTACCTGAAATGTAAATATTAGCACCTAAAATGTACATATTAGCTGTATTAGCACCTATGTACATATTAGAACCTAAATGTAAATATTTGCACCTAAAATGTACATATTAGCTATATTAGCGCCTAAATGTACATTAGAACCTAAATGTAAATATTAGCACCTGAAATGTACAAATTAGCACCTAAAATGTACATATTAGCTATATTAGCACCTAAATGTAAATATTAGCACCTAAAATGTAAATTAGCACCTAAAATGTACATTTTAGCACCTAAACTGTAAATATTAGCATCTAAAATGTATGTACTGTATTAGCACCTAAAATGCATGTATTAGCACCTAAATGTATATTGGCACCTAAAATGTTAATATTAGCACCTAAAATGTACATATGAGCACCTAAAATGGACAAAAGGTTACCTTTTGAAAAGGTACAGCCCCAGTGACAGCATTCATATAATTTTTCTGAGAGTGTATTCATATGGAGTAGTTTTATCACCTCTTTATGAGCTTTTTGATGCATCTTTGTAACACTTGCGTAGCTGCAAATGGAGGGACCGAAAGCTCTCAGATTTAGTCATAAATTTCTTCATTTGTGTTTCGAAGATGAACATTTTTTGGTGAACTAACCTATTAAACTAATATTAACTAATGGGACAGTTATCGTTAAATTTTACGAAAGGGAAAAAAAAATAATCACATTTGAGTTTATTTTCTGAGAGCATATAACTTCATAATAATAGAAAAATGTATTTTGTAAAATGTATTTTTTATTATAGCTACCTGACTTTTCCTCAGGGCTCTGCACTGAGCTGAGAAAAGCCATTTTAAAGTGAAGGAAGTGCCTCTAAATCCAGTTTCATGTACCAATAAACATGCTGTGGTTTAAAAAGTTCATGCTGGACACCAAGAATACCAATGGAGGTAAGTGATAAAAATAAACACATGGCCTTTTACTTAAATTAGTTGTTTTTAGCATGTTGCTATGGTATTCTGGGTAGTTATCAGGGTGTTTAGGTGATTGCTAGTTCAGAAAAGGCACAAACGGGTACTGCCCCGTGTATCACTGTCTCAAAACAAAAGAAAAAATACAAGAGAAAAGATGAACACTTTGAATTTTATTGCACACTACCCTGTATGTCCTCTTAAACTCTGTACAGCAGTTAATGTAAAGAAAAAGGAGCCTTAAACCGGCTTTTTCACTCATATATATAGATCTTTCAGCTTCATGTTTAGGAGCACACGTCTGTAAAGCAGCCCAGTGTTTTCACGCAGAGGGTTTTATACATTCACAGTAAAGCCACTGAATGTTGAATCACAGCTTTGATGAAATATAAGGCACAATGTTATGCTATAAATGGTAATATCGACAGCATGTGGTCGCAATTTACAAAATACTGCACAATTATGCCTCTTTAAGCCTTGATGAATACTGTACAGTGAATTTACTGTCATAATATTTTCATGGTTATACATTTTAGACTTAATCACTTTGGGCATTCAAATAAATGATTCTATCGCTGAACATAATGGATCATGTTAATTACAAGCCTGTCAGTACATGGAAATAATGGTCGCTAACTTAAACATGCATTTCATGCTTGTAAACAATATATACACATATGCAATTCAAAATAATGTTTACATCATTTGGAAAAATCTCAGCAGGATCACTTTTGAATTTGCAGCTGTTTTTGTTCTGTTGGTCCATTGAATCACTACAAAATATTTTC